AGACTGTTTTTTCCTGCTTCGTGGGATTTTCCGCTCAACAAGAAGGATGTACATTTTTACTTAATGGGGATCTGAAAAGAAAATAGACTGTTATTTCTTCTGTAATTCAGCAGGTTGGATCATAGCTTTCCATTCATAAGACATTAAAGGGGAAGATGAGCATCTCCTAAAGACATCCTCCTTCCTTCTTGAGTACTGAGAGCCTTGAGTACTGTTCCTAAAACAAAAGGTAGGGGAGGGGCATGTAGTAGGGGAAGGAGTGGGTTGTGTGGGAGCAAGCCAGCACTTCATGATGTCCTTGGCTCCCTTTTCCAAGATCAAATCCTCTTCTACAATATTTCTGAGGCAGCTGATACTAGGCCTGATGACCTAGTATGCAAGCAGTAACCTATCATCGCTTCTTAGTTTAAGAAAGCTGTCATTACATCAGCATTCATGCTTCTGCCCAGAACTTACACTGTATGTAAAAAACCTGACACCCACATGAACCCTTGCTTTTCAGCTATAGAAGGAAATCTCAGTGACAGAGTTCTTCAGATCGTCTCAGATCAACAAGAAAGAGATGTCCCACTCAAATCTGGAATATCCTCTGGGATCCGTGGGAGACAAGGACAGTTTTCCCCAGCAGGCTGCTTTTCCTGTCAGCTCCCTCGCTGCATGGTCTTTCTCTGAGACACTACATGGGAACTATGCAGAAGAGATAACACAGTCCTCTGCCAATTAATTTTCCTGGCCCGTTTCCATGGGCCTGAAGAGCAAAAAACATGTGCAGATGTAGGAGGCAAGGTCTGGCCCTGTGTGCTTTCCTGAAAAGCTAACTCTGTATCGCTGTCAGTAGTGCTCTCCCTTTATATCTTACTTAACAAAACAGAAGTGGAAAATTATATTTTTCTTAAGAATGTTTTGTGAGCTGTTATGCATGCCCTGATGGTGTTTTACAAGTGTTGCCTGCTTTATCACACACTGGCATTTTTATTCCCTTTATTCTTAAAGGTCAGTAAACCAGCTAGTAGGTCTAATTGCCCTAATTCTGTTCTGCTGCTTTCGACAGATAAGAGCTGCAAACGGGGCAATATCCTGTCAGTCTCCTTTGAACCTCCTGCCTTATAAGCATCCATCTAACTGCTGCCTTTTCTCATGGTTCATTGTGCAGCAATTAGTTTAAATACCTGCCTCTAGTTACTTAATAGAATAGAAGGAAACCATCAGAAGGAATAGATTAAATTGAAACGGAAAGGTCTTGAAAGATGTTTCCCACCTGTGTGAATCCAAACCAAAAACATTTATCTCAAACAGGATTCAGAAACAGAAGGGAGAAACAGAGCAACTTTCTCTTCATTTTCCAAATACACAATGGCATAAATCTCACATATGCACATTTGTTCTCTCTGTCTCAAAACAAAATCAGTACAGTCTGACTTTTTAATAATATGCTATAAATAACTGGTAATAAAAAACAAGGAACAGAACCAAGGGCTGTTATTCTTGAGGATCTTCTCTATCTCTAGCAGGAGCCCATATTTAATGCTACAATGAAGGCAGTGTACCGGAACTCTATGCAAAATATATAAAGGAGAGAAATTTCTCCTGTCAGTGATCAGTTTATGCTGTGAAACATCACTGGCACTAATTCTTGCAGTTATTCTCCCTGTCAGCATGTTGTTACTATATGTGTACTAATACTATACTTCACGTGTCTAATCTGTACACAAATATTCTAAGCTATTTGTTTCATCTGCTCAACCATTCGTCCTATAGCACAGAGTTCCTTGAGCCAAAGAAGTGGCACTTTGCAGTAACGTGGCACATCACTGGATGGTGATAATGCAGATAGGATAGTTGTGTATCATTCTCACCTGTAGATCAAAGCACTTTGATATACTAGTTTTCATTTCTCTTGTTTCATAGTCTTCTCTTACCGTGTTGTTCTTGTAGTTCTTTTAGATTCTTCTTTCCAATCCTCTTTTATTTATTATTTTATTAAGCCAGAAGCCAAAACGCAAAGTAGTATTTAGCTAAGAATCTATTACTGAAAATACGATTGTATTTTCTGTTAGCTTTTTTTCCCCACGTTTTGTTTAGTTCTATAGTGCTTGTACAGTATTCAATTTTTATTGAACTATGCCCATAACTGAAGTCCACCTCATGCTTAATTTTAAGTCCATCTTCTGAAAGCTCCCTCCTAAAATTCTGCATTGCATCGTGTTTCCCTTATCTCCAGAAAAGTCATTTGAGATGCTCTTGATTTAGACTTCCCAAATTCAGATTGCTAGGATAGCATGTTAAAGTCATGATTGTCCAGGTATGAGAAACTGTTGTATTTTCCACCCATGCAAAGACATCTCATAGAATCACAGAATCACGGCATGGCCTGGGTTGAAAAAGACCACAGTGATCATCTAGTTCCAACCCCCTGCCATGTGCAGGGTCGCCAACCAGCAGACCAGGCTGCCCAGAGCCACATCCAGCCTGACCTTGAATGCCTGCAGGGATGGGGCATCCACAGCCTCCTTGGGCAGCCTGTGCCTTCCTATTCATTCCTCTATCATTATACAAGCACACTCACAAAAATAGTATGTGTGTCTTGCCTGTTCTATGTGACCTCTTTTTGTGCTCAGCATGATGTCTTGACCTCCATGGACAGCCCCAAAGCTCTTCCCTTTACCCAGCTATTTTTAGTGCCATTGGCTAACTGGTATCCAAAAGCTATCCAAGGTTCATGAATTATTAATTGTATGTGGATAATAACTATTTGTGAATCCCAAGTACAACTTGCATTCAGTTCTGGCAGCCTTCTCCCTGTCAGGGAGATTTGGACTGTAGCTTGTAAATTATCAGACAGAGAGAATGGGGGCTATTACATATGACAAGCAACAGTGTAATGAATAGTAGCTCTGAAATGCCAACTATTAAAAAAAAATGGATGCAACACGAACGGAGTGAGTAATGAGGAGTACATCAAACTTTCTCTGCATTGCCTTACTGCAGAATATTGCATTGTTAAAATATTATATTAAAAGTGTTCATTCTGAGCTGAAGTTACTCAGTGATCTAAGCTCAGTATTTCTCTATGAAAACATCAAGTCTGGAAGCAAAATTTACCATGTTCATTAGTCACAAAGAATCTTTCTGCCATAGATGATACAGCTATGTTTTTATATAAATTTAATCTATGCAGAAGAGAGGGAAAGACAAGGTGAGTCCTTAGAAAGAATTCCTGTGTGAATTAAGACCATTGTGAAACTTGCTGATTTCTCACTACACTTTATCTTCACTGGTGAAAACTAAAAGCATCTGTAGCTATATCTAAAAGACAAAGAGTAACAAAACAAGCTAGCTTATTTACAGCTCTCCTCCAGGGAAAGAACAAGATAATAAATCTGTCAAATTTTTGTTGTCTGTAACGTGCTGAGAGGTGTTCAGTTAGTGTGTTGGCAAGGGCGATGTGATGAGCTGTAGTACAGAATGAAATACTCAAATTCACCATCACTTTAGAATGATTGTTGTCAAAGTATTTTCTCATGCAACTCTCAAAGGCTGATTTAAAATGGACGTGCATTTTTTGTGAGATGTAATACTCCTCTGATTCTCGGGCGTGTTTTTTCTGATATTACGTGGCATAGAGCAGTAGTTGAGGTGAACACTTGCTAAAAAACACCCATTGTATTTCTTGAATTTGCTTGCTGACTGTACTTTGAAGCCTTTCCAGAGTATACAGGAAGAATCTCTTCGAAATTTCAAAAGTTCAGCAGCTGTCTCCAGCTGAGACACATTTATAAACATTAGACCTTCCAGTCCAAGTGCTACATGTCAGATGATTTTTCTCATGAAACAAGCTTTGCCTCCATAGAGACTGACTTTTTATTTACTTTAAGGATATATTTTAAAGTGATTCTCAGCAGTGATGTTATAAGGCAGTGACAGTGGCATGATTCTTCTTTTTTGGTTTAAAGTGAAAGTTTGAGATGTCTCTACACTCCCCATAGTATTTGTACTGGTATGAAAATTGTTTCATGGTTTAGCAGAGAATTCAGACCTAGAATTCAGGTTTCTCAGACAGCTCTGGTAAAGAATATTGAAACCTTCAGGTCTTTTACTAAATGTTGTTTCATCTTTTTCTTTTACTGCAAATGATCTTGAATGTTGTTTACTAAGTCCTAACCTTCAGCATCCCCTGCATGTCCTGCTTCTGTAACTAAACTCGTTCATATTGATAATGTCTCATGCACAACAAAAATGGGAGAACTTGGAAAACAAGGGAGTGTCTGAGACATTATCTCTACCTCTTTTTTTTTTTCACCTGCAAATGAGAATCTAAAACTGTATTACAACCCGGGTTTCTAATTTTCATATAAGAGCATATCATCAGTGTCCTTTACAACACCAAACTTCAGCTCCTGACAAGCCACTTTGCAGTAATGTTCTGCACATGCAGTAATGTTCTCAAAGAAATATTACAGCATTATCAAATGTTGTTGAAGAGATTACCAGCATATAAGACCTACCAGCACAAGACTACAAAACATGTCTTGCCCTTTTGCTCATCCCAAAAGCATTCCCTGGAATGTTTATGTAAGCAATTCTGAAAATACTGCCTATAAAACAATCTATTCTACTTGCTCAAAGTAACTGAAGCATTGGTACTTATTAAACATAAAGCTGAACAGGTGAGCCATCCACATCCCTCACTGAAATGCTCTTTACTAATAAATGGCCTTCAGTGGATCTTCAGCTACTTAGGCTATTAGATGTAATTACTTTTTTCAGACAAGGATTATTAGTTTTGGATTAAAAAAGGGACATTTTAGATTTTGCTTTTTATTATTTTTGAAAAGACACTGCATTGTTTCACTGTGCAAAAAAAAAAAACAACAAAACCAAACTTATTTATTTCCCCATGTTTGTAAGCAGTAACAATTAGAAGAGCAGAGGATATCAGGAGCGTAGCAAACCAGCCAAGAGAGCAAAGGCTAAGAAACATAAATATGGAGTCTGGTTACCTTCTGTGAAGTTCAAGGGAATAATGAGGTGAAATCCATGATTTCTTGTATACAGGAAGAAGAAGCAATCTAAAAAAAAAAAAATTTTAAATGAGGAACTTACAGTAAAAGGACAAGTTCAATTTTTTAGTGTATTTATGGCAGTTCTATCACTGCCCTGCGCTGTTATCTTAACAAGTAACAAAATGCTTGACAGATCTCTAGCAGTTTACACAGATTTCATGGCATCTAATGAGCAATAAAAGATGGACTATGACTGATTCTTGTGTGACTGCAGTGAATGATGGATGTAAAATAAAGAGCTTCCCTAATTTACATGACCCACATGAGGACCAGGCAGGCTGTGGTTTTGCCCACAAGGCAAGACAGAATCTACCCAACTGCACTTCTTGGTTCTTCTCATGCAGAAAAGAGAGAGCTACATCTCTTTCTTCCACCCCCTGCAATCCAGAACATGGAGAGGTAAGCATGCAGGAGCACAACTTACTACTTTCTACTGTTAAAGTAAGGAACTCTAGGAAGTTTCATACCTTTTAAAGAGGGGCACTTCTTTATTTGCCTGTGTTAAGTTACCTCTTAATCATATTTTGGCTTATTAGCTAAATGGCATTAACTTAATCTGCTGCTAATTTATTACTCTCTATAATGAAACTACATAGAATCTGTGGATGTGATGTCTCCTATTGTATGGTCAGGTGTAAACATTGCATTAAACTTTGAGTATCTATCTAATAACACTTCATGTAACAGAATCAGTGGAGATCCAAGAGGGATATGGTTTTATGTTGTGGTTGTTTTTGTTGTTTTTTTTTTTTTAAAACTTCTTTTTAGTTATTCAACATTTTGGTTAAAAAAAACTTATTTCTTCTCCAAATAGCTGTTTAATCACTGCTTGGGGTTGAAAAAAGCATCATGGAGCAGATGGCAAGAACACAGGATTTAAGAAAGGGACAGATGTATCCATATTAGGGAGCCTGGAAGATAAATCTCTTGAAGGCTTGTAGCAGACATGATCATTACTTTGTTTACACAGATGAAATATGACTAGTTTCAATTAACAGTTGCTGTTGTCCATATTTGGGATCTTTTCCCATCAGATGGTCTTTGAAACCTGTTGTAAATCATCATGTTTGTGCTACTTACATTCTGTGTGTAAACCATATAGGTATTCATCTCCACTCTTTATGGAAAATGTTTAGATAGATATTATACAGCATAAAAAAAAATGTGGAGGGATTTGCTTTCTATTAAGCAGTTTGCAGGCATTGTCTCTAATGACATACAGTCTGCAGTGATGTACAGGGATGCTAGGAAAGCACAAAAAGAAGGATGTTATTATTCAGCCTCTGTGCTGCCAATCCATTCTTTGCCTCAGCTCCCTCCCTGATGCTACCAGCATTATTCCCATCACAAACAGCTCCTCTTAGGACTCTAACATGAACCAAGAACCTGACTTTTGTACATCTGGGGAATAGGAAGGCAACACAGGAAAAACTGTATTGTCTTCCTGTGGAAACATCTATAAGTTGCATATAGGGCAGTTAGGAAATAACATGTTATCTGTGTGCAGCCTCCTCACTGCTGAGGAGTGGAAGAACTTCTGCTGACCTTGGGAAAACAATACTTTGCAGATGTGAAGAGGAAGTCCTCTTAAAGCATGTGTATGTGCTTGGATGTGTGTGTATATATATATAAATGCACACGTGTGCTTGGGAGAATTCAGAAGCTGCTGCTTTAATATACTCTTTAAAAAATGGTGATCTTAAAAATGTGAAGAACAACCAGTACAAGCTGCTGTGGTTGTGACTCCAGCTCATCTTTTCATTACTGCTTGAACACAAGTAACAAGTAGATGTGAATTCCTAAGGAGGTGCTCTAACATTAATCACAGTACTTTTAGGGGCAGATATTAGTGCATCTGTTGAAGTACTGAACTAAAGCAGCCACGAAGCACACACAGTCCTGAATAAAACATTCTTGTAGCATTTCCTTTCTCCAACTGAAAACTCTAAACGTTGGGTCTCTAGTTGGGTGTATTAGAATCAGATTCCTCTAGGACTGATGATTTTATCCATTAGAATACTTCTTATGGTTATTTTCATGTTTAACTGAAGCAACTGAAACTTGTATTTTCTTGTGATTGAAGCAGGAATGTCATCCACTTATTAAAAGCTAGGAAAAAAAGATGAGCATATAAAGTTTTAAGGGAATAGGAAAATGATGATAGTTACAGAGATGTTACATTTATCCAGTTCTGGCTCTTACTTTACCTACTACAAAAGCAAGGACACCAGAAAGTGACAGATCAAAAGAGTAGGAATATATATGAGGGGGCTTTGAAGACTGTGTATCTTACTAGAACTCCAAAATTTACTTGTACAATGTAAAGCACTGCATTTATAAAGCTAGATTTGTATACTTAAGTATACTGCCATGTCAGGAAGCAACAAAATTAAGGAGGCAGGTAGCACAGCTGCATAGTGATGACAAATGACTTGAGAAATGACTGTTCACTTCCAAAGGAAAACAAAACAAACCAATTTAATTCTCATAAAATTTGAAGTAAATTTAGCAGTATTTTCATTTCTTTTGCATCTCTAACCCTGCAGTAGTGTGAACTAAATGCAAATCAACCCATGAAATGACTTACCCAAAGAATGAAAATAAAAAGTAGGAATTACAAGCTATGTAAACATTGTCTACTATATTGGAATGTTTAGAAATATTAAAATATATTCTACTATATTATTAATTCCTGAAGGGAACAGTATGCTTTAGCAATTATCTTTTGGGATATCTCATATCAAACTATTTTTAACTAACAACTTTATATGTTAATGGCTGGTTTCAGATTCACAGCTCGTTAGAAGAACTTTATCTAGTGCTATGTAATTAGTAATTAATGAAGTGCTAACTAAGTGCCACAATGTAAGCTGTGCTCTTTCCAATCCTTAGTTACCAAAACTAAGATTAAGGAGTATCTCTTCTGCAGTACTCAGGAATCTTGTCTTAAAGGTAACTAAATTCATTTGATTTTATAGTAATGGATAACCATCCCAGAGCTTTGTTGGGATCATGACATGACTAGTTAGAAACAAATGCTATTTCTCTTTTTCCTTATGATTTTTAGAATAGTTTGTATTGCAACCTATGCAAGCAAAACTAATTGTATTAAAGTAACTGACATTATGAATTTTTCATATAAGATGCTTGTGCTATTTTCTGTTAATGAACATATAGTAAGCAGTGACTTTAATCCACTGACATTTTTATAGACTTAAGTTTTGCTATAGCAAGCGCTCTGGCTTGCAGTCTCAGTGCTTTATTACAGCTGCTCCTCCAAACATATTAAATTTTATGTATAGAAGCACAGGCATTTTATATTGCCTAATGGAAAAGTGTTTTTCATCTGTGAAATCAGAAATATGCTGATAAATTTCCAACATGTCAGTGGGTAGATAATGTTGAAGATGTAAGCTGCTCCTTCAGAAAGGAGATGTTTATATCCTACTTGGCTTGAGGGGTTTCTAGTTACAGTGGAGTTTGTTACACTCATGCAGAGAAGTGCAACTCTCTTTTTTTGGCAGTAGATGATATAAATAATCATTACTAATAAAATTTGGGATAAAAGCATCTTAAAAACAACTTTTAAGATCTATACTAAATAACGATTCAAGAGAGTATGTAAATGCAGGAAGGATGGACAGGCAACCATCATTTCTAATTTTGTTCTCTCACATGAAAGCAGCAGTGACAAATGTGATGTCCTGCGGGCTGTAAAATTTTCAGCCACGTTCATTTGGAATGAAAGAAGCTTGTTCAGGACTGACCATCTGCACACATTCCCTAACAGTCTGCCACTCACAAGTGGCAGCGGTTTCCTTGTACTTTTGACAGCAGCTTTCTTCATTCTAATCAGCTATTTTGCCACACGCTTTCATCTAGTCATCTCCTCTTTACGATGCTTCCTGTGATTTGAATGTTTAACAGCACAGCTGCAGTGTTCAACTAATAACACATTTTAAATGCAATACTAAATATAATGTGGAAGAACTGTCCCTATAAAATAATAAGGAGCATCAGTTGTGTGTATAGAATGGGTGCCTGGATACTGGAAGATGGTATCTTGGAAAAGATTGAGGAATCTCAGAGGAAAAGCACCTAACTAAGGATGGGGCTTCAGTGTAAAACTGGTATTTCAGCACTTTGGTAGAATTGGCCATTTTGGTTCTACAGACAAATATATCTTCAATTAGAACCTACGTTTTCCTCTTATCACTTCTCTTTACTACTCCTTGTTTAAAAATCTTTTTGGCACAAAATGATGACATGGCATCCAACATTTCCATCTCTTGGCATGTTGTTTGTATGACTGCATACATATACTGAGGAGAAATTTCTACTTAATTTCTGTTTCAGATGCCTTCATTTCTCAACCTATCCCCTTTAATTTAGACGTATGATCAGATTTATTTCCCCCAGCATCTATTCTGTTGTACTGATGATCATTTATCAGTACTGAATTTCTTACTGTATTGCCTACCTGCACAGTTGGTTCACCCTGAGTATCTTCTGCATCTGTCCCATGCTCTCGTGCCCTCTACAAGTGTTTTTTTTCTTTTGTACAGCCCTTTGCAAGGGCGTTTACAACACATGTTCACAAAATCTTACATACACTCCACTGTTTTGGCTTTTCACTCTCATTTTAAATGCCCATTTGTTCTCCTGTTTCATCTCTTTTAGTTTTTGGTCCATGCTTTGTTGTTTTTCTTTTCTCACAACCCACTGTGAAGCTTTTTTGGAAAGATTTGATGAAAGATCTGAACAGTCTTTCAAAATTTGTGTTGCCAGCCCCCTGTATCCACCACTTAGGTACCGAGTACTGAGAAACTTATTCTATCAGACATTGGTCTACCTCCTGCTTTAGAGAAGGAGAATTGCTTACTGCAAATTTACCTTTGCTTCCCCTTTCTGAAGCGTCTACGCTTTCCTTTTTTAAAAATACATTCTTATCTTTCTCGAATCTTCCTTTATTTCAGTGTTAAACATAATAGAGGTTCCAAAGCTGGTGAAGCATTCTTTCCATTCGCATTCTTTCCATTCACTGGTAGACCAAACTGTGGAAGGATGGTGTTCGGCGCTTTGTTTTCCTTTCATTTATCCTGTTTCAAGACAAGTACACAGGAGGAGAGTGTGTTCTCCTTGCAGGCAGCCTTCATTTCATCTGGACTGCTCAGATACGCTCAGGACCCTGGTCCGTGTGCACTCTATCAGGTGCTATCTGCAACTCCGGATCGCCCACTGTGCCAGCAGGGATGTGGAGGAAGCAGTAACGGTCTCAATTCCACGGCGGGATGACAACGGGGCCATTCACGATGTAATGAGGTTAGGTGTTGTTTGTACAGCGCTCTGACTACGTGTGAGTGCCGGCTGTTAATTACTGCAGTAACTGGCTGGGGCTGGAGCCTTGCTGGCAGGGGTGTAAGTGGGAAAGCGGGCGATGCCAGGCCCGGTCTCCATGGCGGCAGTGCTTGCACTTCATGGCAGCTCTTGCAAAACCCGGTGGTTTTCTGAAGGCTTTCACTCTTGAGGTGATGCAAAGAGAGCCAAGGCCCCGTTTTTCCTCTCAACGCTCATAATTTCTTAACGGCGACGGGTGCAGCAAAAGATGATAGGAAGGCCGTGTATTGCATTGCTTTTAAATTGTGTCAACTTCTGTGTTAAAACCACTGCTTTTTTTTTTTTTTTTCTTTGCGAGTCCACCTCTAACCGGCAGAACAGCCTCCACAAGAAGCGCTTCGGGCTCTTTCCCTCGTGGGGATTTGCGAGGAGCTCGGGACAGCGGTTAGCACCGGAACGGACGAAGCCGCCGGGGCTGCCCACAGCCCCCGTGAAGGGGCTGAAGCGGCGGGCGGCCGTGCTGCCCTCAGCGGGACGCCGCGTTCCCGCCCGGCCCGGTAAGCGGCGCTGAGTGAGGAGGGGGCGCGCGCCCCGCCGTTGTGCTGGCGCGTGCGCACGGGAGGAGGCGGGCCGGGAGCGCTCATCGCGCATGCGCGGGCGGCGCCGGCGGGGCTCCCCCCGCCCCCGCGCGCGCGTGTGTGTGTGTGAGAGAGAGAGTGTGTGTGTGTGTATGTGTGTGGTGTGTGTGTGTGTAGGGGGGGAGCGCGCGCGTGTGGAGGGGCCGCCGGCCGCCCCTCAGCGAGCTGGGGGTGAGCGGCGCTGAGCACGGCGAGCGCAGGCCGGCAGCCGGAGCGCCTTTCCCGCCCCCGCTCCTCGCTCGTCGCCGTCTCGCAGGTGAGGCAGGCGCGGCGCGGCGCGGCGGGTTTATTGTCCGGAGGAGGAGAAAAAGGAGGCTTCGGCCGGCCGGCACGCCGGGCCCCGCAGTACCGCCGGCCGGGGATTGGAGCGCCGGGTCCCCTCCCAGATCCGGGGAGGGTCTCGGCCCCGCCGCGGGCCGGCTCCGTGCGGCCGGCACCCACCTGCGGCCGCCTCCCCTTCGCGGCGGCGGGCGCCATCCGCGGCGCTGGGCCGGGCCCCGCGGCGCCCCCTCCCCTGTCAGCGCGCCAGGGGTGGGTGCGGGAGCGCGCGTGTGTGCGGGGCCGCAAGATGGAGGGATGCGGGGCTGAGCGCCGGGCCGGAGCGTCCCCTCTCTCTCGTCTTTTTTATTTTTAATTCTTATTTTCCTCCATCCGGGACCCCGAGCAGCGGGTCGTGGCCTGCCCCCGTGCGGGGAGCGGGCTGCCGGGGCTTATCGCCGCGAGGCGTGCGGTGGTGTGCCGGGATGCCGATATCGGGGGCGGCCGAGTGAGCGTGACGTGTGGGGTGTGGGGGCCGTGCGGGGTGCCGGGCGACACGCGCGATGGTTTTCCAGCAGGCGGGGGAAGTTCGGAGCGCCGGGAGCGCGGATAGGCGGCTGCTTGGGAGAGCAGGCAAATAGGTGCTGCTTGTTTGACAGCTGGAACGTTCGGCGTGTCGTGTTCCTGGCGGCTGGTGCTGGAAGATCAATGGCATACGGGGATCAAAGCGAGATGAGTGCCGGCGATAGGTGTTGGTTTAACTGCTACCCGTGTGTGTAACGGTGGATCCTGCCTGGCAAAATGGGGTGGATGTGTTTCTTTCGCAGATCCCCGTGCTGACAAAAGGTGCCTTTATGCAGACCTCTGGTGGATTTTTCTATCACCGCTTCTATTCCTATGCTAAACTAAGGGGCTACACGTTTTTCATCAAGGGATGGTGACACACTGGAACAGGTTGCCCAAGGAGGTTGTAGATGCCCCTGCAGGCATTCAAGGCCAGGCTGGATGTGGCTCTGAGCAGCCTGGTCTGGTGGTTGGCAACCCTGCACACAGCAGGGGGTTGAAACAGGATGATCATTGTGGTCCTTTTCAACCCAGCCCATTCTATGATAAAGAACACAAAGACTTCTCCAAATGGGATAGATGCATAAGCAGGCAGTGCATGTACTGTAGGCCTATGGTTTTTGGTCATTTTTCAAGGCTGTCAATTGCCATGGGCTGCACCACAGTGTTTTTCTTAATCGTTGTCTGCCTCTGAATCTAGTTTGGTTTTAGTGATGTTGTGGTGGTGTTTCATTTCTAAACAAAATGAAGGCTACTTTTCACATCAGAAGAGGTTTGCAACCCTTGCTCGTTCATAGACCTATTGTGTTTTCCTGTGGTTGTGTACATTTCTTAATGAATTGCAACTCAACAGGTTGGTTTCTTAAATCTTTTTTACAACTCAGGAGACCCTTAGAAATAATACATGGACCTTACTACTGATTTTGCTGATACCTTTCTGTTGTCTTATTGCAAATGGTCTAATTCTTAGCACCTAAAGCAGCATCTAATACAGAAGAGCAAACAGTAAAGAAATAAGTTGTTCCCCAAAGCTTTCTCTTGATGATGTACACGTGTTTGATTTTTTTCATGTGTTGTTGTAAGGTTCAGAAGCTGTGATAAGATACTCTCAGGACATCCGTAGGCATCTCTGCATAATCTCCCCTGGCTTGGGTCCTGCTTCTGTAAACTGACACGTTCCACACAGGTGCCAAAGCTGTTTGAATGAATCGATACCAGCTGGTGTTCAGGGGTTGATAATGGCTTGTAATCCTAGCATTCTGGCTACTCTGAAATACTTTCTTTCTGGGATAAATATGTACGTTTCGTTTGTATTTGCTTTTGCTTCTGCAAGAGATTTGCCCCCCCAGAAAACGATCATTTTCTCTGTATATCCCTGGATGTGGGTTGTCTGTAGTCGCGCTCAGAAGTTTGCTAAGCTAGGTCACTTGAATTGAAAGAGTGCCCTCTGGTGACATCTGCGTTTAGAGCGTGGGTTAAAAAAATGCTCCTGCTGATCTGAGCTCTAATATTCTAATGCTCCTACCACCGGAGCTGGAGCTTTATTCTACACAGAAACGCTCAGGTGCATGTCTGAGTGAGGGGAAGGGCAGTCACTCGTAAATACATGCGGAAGATAAGATGTGCAGCAGTCACTTGGAGTCTGTTGCCCATCTTGTGAAATACTCTAACTTGTATTTTGCCTGCGTTTTGAGGAGGAGCTGGATTCCTCAGTTCATGGGGGCTCTTGTTGAGCTCATTGTTTACTGTATGTGGTGTTGTTTTCCTGCTGATAGTCCTGCTTTTGTGCAAAAGGTTTGGAGAGTGATTTTGTTTTTCTACACTTATCTTGCTGGTGACTATATAGTCCAGAATCCTTCAATGTGGGTATGTTACTGATCACGGTACTGCTCAGCACCAGTAAACAACATGAAGATGTACAGCTAATTCCCTAGCTTTGGCTACATGTGTGAACTTAGATGTTAAAAAATTACTAAAGAAAGATGGACAACTCTGAGGCTCCAGAAAGCTTCTGATCTTGGTGTGCTAATGCTCTGGTTCACATAAATTCGAATATTAAAAGAATTGATAAGGACACGCCTCTGTCTTATTTTCTTCCTTATTTTCTCTCCATTGAAATTGGAGATTTCTTTTCCTTTCTGTTTCCCTGGAGCTGAGTCATTTGGGCTCCTCCTTTCATTCAATAAATAAAGCTGAGTTGAAAACCTGCTTTAAGGGTGGGGAGCGCAGTTGTGTTTTGCCTAACTGTAAGACATCAAAGGCATAGTATATTCCTGCTTTGGATATTGTTTTACAGCCCTTGGGAGGGGTAATGTTAGAAGAGATACTTACAAATGCATTTTAAAACCAACAAGAAAACACTTGCGTTAATACCTTTACATTTAGATACTTGAAGCTGCTGCAGTAGAAATAATTTCTTAATATGCATTCATGGCTAGTATTTATTGCAGAAATGGGGCTCTGCGGGATTCACGTTTGTCTGTTTATGAACTAATCACCTTAGAAGACTGCTGAAGCAAGAGAATTGTAGTGTTACAGTTGGGTGTTTTAAATAGATGCTCTGCATGCTTAGTTAGCTGGTACATGCAGATGTGTGACTGCAATTTTTTCCTCTTGCAAAGATCCTTAAAGATCGTGTAGGATTCCAAGGAAACTGGCGTTAGAACCGTGCCTGTGGTCAAGCTGGTATCATCCTGTATTCTGCCAAGCAGAAAGAGGACATCTGCAACCAGAGATGGAGCGAGACAGCAGCCAGAGGTACTGCAGCTCCT